CAATGGTATAGTGGAACGCAGGGGGGGGGAAGTTTAAATGAAGAAATAGAATGGAGACAATGGTATAGTGGAGACAATTGTATGGTGGAACGCAGGGGGGGTGAGAGTTATTAAAGGAATAGGGTCGCAGGTGACCGGATATTAGGGTCGCAAGTGACCGGGGATAATAGGGTCACAAGTGACCGGATAATAGGGTCACAAGTGACCATGGACCCTCGGAAGAAGATGGTGATCCAATTCATGGAGAAAAAAAAGTATTTGTTCAGCAACTCGTGTGGGGATATGAAATGGGAAAATTTGGGAGGTATCAACCATAGGATATTTGGATTACTGAGTAGTAACTTCTCATACCCTGCAAGGCGGGCGTGTGGCTGGACCAAGAAAGTGCAAGCAGAGAGCAGGCTGCAACTGTCGAGCTGAAAGTCGCAGACCATTGCCAAGAGTTTCTTGCCGAGGTGCAGCAAGGAAAGGGCGCACTGGCCGAGTTTTTGGCGAATGTGGCAAAGGTGTTGGTGCCCTCGCGCGACGGAGCTCGCCGACAGCTTGCGGAAGCGCTGCTTCGGTTGCAAAAAGTGCCTCGAAGTCTTGCCAATCTTTGGAAGCTTGATTCGCAGGGCTCGACGTGGAGATGCATTACGTCGACTGACAATGTGAAATGGTGTGTCCACCCAAGCATCAAGTTTGCTTCTTTTCCTTTAGTCTCAACTGTAATGTCAACCCCGGATTAATAAACCATGGTTTATTAATTAGGGGGTATTCCCCCAATAGTCATGATTTGATACTTAAACTTAAATGTTACCCTCTGGTAAACGTTTACATAACTATGGAAAATCACCATTTTATAGCTGGGTAAATCCATTACAATCACCATGTTCAATTTTCAATAGCTATGTTTGTTTACCAGAGGTTACCTTCCCAATTAAACAGCCGTTTGAGGTTTATTAGGTGGATCCTGGCAGCACCTGCGATCGACGTCGCGCCTGTCAAATCGTTAAAGGTATCCCGGGTGAATTGTGGTGCCCCCCCTCAGTTCGAAATGGCTTATAATATGTTATAATCCCATTAACACCCATTACCTGTAGATCGATATTATATCACCATATATCACCTATAAACTTAGTTGTTGGACTTATTTGCCCCAACTTAGATAACGAACTGGGGAACCATCCTGTGGTTTTTATTGTGGTATGATGAACTGTTTTTCTTTGGTCACTAAAACTTCTTGACGCCAACTGCCATAGATGATGAAGTTCACTTGGTGATGTTTACCAACTTATGAAACCACCGTACTAAATCACCC